CGACTGGAACCCCATGGTGGCCGAAGACTGGGCCATGATCATGGCTCACTATCTACTCTACTCGACCGACGTAACGGTTAGCCAGACCTACATCGACGTGTGCACCGGAGGCCAGATGCGCCTGTGCTCCAACATCCTAAAGAGCGTGGAGAAGGCCACCTATACCGTCCTCGAAAGCTACTTTCGATCGGCGTTCGACTTTGGCGAGGCGGGGAACGTCGAAGACATGGTCAGGGACTGTATGACGTACGTGTACGCGCCGTACGACTACCCGCGGCCTACCTTCCTGAACGCGTACGTAAAAAACTATCTACTGGGCGACAATAACCGCGTGGAGCTCCTCCTGGACACGCTTAAATTGGCCTGCATGGCTTTGGCCTACAGAGACCTCAGCGGCGTCGTTCCTGCCGACCCTTCGGAACCAATGGGCACGTACGAGCCGCTTTACAACTTTGTCCTCGCCAACGGAGCCTTCACCAAGTTGAGCGACAAATGCGTGGGCACTCTGTTGAGCAAAGACGTGGCCGTGTACGGCAGAGAAATAAAAATCGAGCCGAGCAACGTGGCCAAGCGAATAGCCTCCGACCTGACCGGTTTGGACGAAAACGTCTTCAACTGCACCCTCCTGGAACGAACCCTTACGTCCTACCTGAGTTTGGTGTACGGGAAAAATACCACCGGTCATTCCAAATTGTACGTCAAGATACGCGACTTGCTAGATAGGTACAATGCACACACCGTAGCGGTCAAATAAAAAATGCCACCCAGAGCTCGGCGAGGTAGTAGGGGAGGCCGCGGTGCCGGTAAATCCAACACGTTGGCGGTCGGTAGGGCCCAGGCAGGCGACATGTCCTATCCCATACTCGTACATCGAGGAGAAGAACAGCAGCAGGCGGGACAACTACCGGTCGTCGAGTACGAGGAATTTGTGGACGATCCCAATAGAGTTCGCGTCGGCGGCGTAATAGAGATTGGCGAACGCAACATGACGCGTAGAGGACAGAGAACCATTCTCGATCCGGAACACGAACGTAATTTACACCCGACGATAAAGCGACTCTTGGACAAAGGTTATGTCATTCCTCAGATTATAATAAACAATCAACGCCTCTGACCGCGCAATGTTGTTTACAAACGAAGAATACGGAATGATGGAGTCACCGGCATCGAGCGCTATAGAAACCCCCAGGTATTCCGGCGTGACGCCGTTTCACGTTCCGCAATACAATTTTGAACTGGCCGAAAGTAACGCGGACAAGGTGGAAGCCATCAGGCGACAGTTTAGAGAAATCTTGGGCCCTATGACGATCGAGACCTTAAACCATTACACGGTAGATCAGGGTTTTGCCTACAAACTCGAACGCGCCTTTGAGGAACTCGGCGCGGTGCGCCAACGCGAATTCCTCTACAAGGCGCTCGTGGCAGTTAAGCGCATGACCAGGGTGAACGTGGCCTTTCGCAACGTGATCGAGTTTATAAATTTTGTGCTGCGCCGAGACGACTACAGGGTCATGAACGTCGTGTTGAAAGACAACAAAATCGACGTCGAGTGCTACGAACGGGTCGACATCGTGGAGAAGCAAATCTGCAAGCGGCAGTGGCGAGTCGAATTTAAAGAAAAGTATGGACGAGAACCGAGCCTGGCCGAGGAACTGTCCAGAGATCGCGACTTGAACGCTCGAGCGTTGTGTGATGCGGTGATGGATTACGAGGGAGGGCCCTCGATACTACAATTATAAAAATGATGGAATCGGACTCGCAGAAAAAAATATTGAGGAAATTGATCGAGGACTTTGTGATTGATGAAGACATTTGGGAACGCACTGCCGTCGTTCATAAACCATATCAACACCTGTACACGGGCGACGTGTTGCGATACTTGCGGATTCAAACGGCCATCCGAATGATCATGGACGACGAGCAAAAAAAACCTACGAGAGCCCTATGAGACGCTCTGTTTGAAAACATATCCACGTTCGTTCGTTTCGAGAGAATGAAGAATAAGCGTCGACGGACCGGCGCCCGCCGGACAAAGAAGACGGGTGAGGGATTTTATTCCCTGACAAAAGTCCCGGACATTAGTAGTCTACCGACAGACGTGCGATTGGAAATTGAAAAGTCCTTTACTCCTAATCCGAAATTGAAGACTCAGCTAAATAAACTTCTTCTGAGAAAGGCGTTCGTACAATACTGTAAGCAGCGTCAGTACGACATATCGCAGTACCCGACAAACGTTCTGGCCAAACGCTACAAGTTTAGAGAGATACACCGCGACGTCCGCGAACACTTTGAAAAGGGAGTCGCCACCCACAACTCTGTCACCAAGCACCCGCTTTCGACAACGTTTCGCGAAAACGCCATCGCCGTCAAGGTCTCGTCTTACGTGAACAAACTCAAGAACGAAGAGCGTCTTCCGACGCGCGTTCCAGAAAATGTCGAGGCTCTGTTGAGAGGCATGGCTTTTAACGAGTAAATAAAAATGGTCAAATTTTCCAAGTGCGGTTTCTCGAAACGAACCGCCAGAACAAAGTGTTCGAGATGCAACAGGAACGGTCGTAGACTCGATACGAGAAAGCCGTATCGCCTCGAACATTTCACCAAGGAAGATCAAAGGCGCATTCTCGGCTCCATGCGGGTTAAACGAGGACAGAGTCCAACCTACCTGAAACTTTTATTGGGGAAACTAATTCAGGCCTTTGCTCGCAAACACCGACTGCCGGCGTCATGTCCGATCAATCGAGCCAGACACGCGCTGATAACTCACGCGATCCTCGACAAGATTCGACCATCGAATCAAAGAACGAGGAGGAGTCGTAGCAAGAGCGTCGCGCGGCGGAGGACTAGGAGCAGGAGCGGAAGCGTCGCGCGGCGGAGGAGCAGGAGCGGAAGCGTCGCGCGGCGGAGGAGTGGGAGTAGGAGCGTTCTCTCCTCGGGTCGAAGAAGAGGAAGGAAGAGGAGTCGCAGCGTCGGCAACAGGAGGAGCCGTAGCATTTCCATCAACCGAGGCCGACTCGGTCGCAGCGTCAGTGTCGGTAGGCGAACAATGTCCAGAAACGCCAGCAGCGACTCCAAGTACATGTATCCCGTGTAATAAAAAAATGTATCAAGTGCGCGTGGATTATTCTTTCGACCAACTCCCGCCGAGCCTGCTCAGGTCTCTCACGAGCGCTCACGAGGGGTTGCGGTCGGACAAGAACCGTCTCATAAAGCGTGCCAACGACGTGATCAGAGACTTTCAGGTCTTTAAGATGCACAAGCGCAGCGCCCCAATTTTCGTCAGTCAATTTCCAGTTCACGTGTTGAATGACATGTACTCGATAGTGCCCGTGCGTAACAAGAAGGGCGACGTCATGTGCGGAAGGGAGTACGCCGAAACGGCCAAGGCTATTCGATCTAACTCGTTCTATCCCGTGTTTAAAGCGAGAAGCGACGGCGCAGCCCTGTTGGAAACCAAAGTCGGTAGGACCACCGGAGATAATCATTCGCCCTACGTTTCGGGAGTCTTGGTGAACGTAAACATTGACAAGATATCTAGCAAGTTTCACGACGTGGTCACCAGCCGCTCGATCAAGGTGGGGCAGTGGATCGACGTGATTCGCGACCCACCGCCGTCCTTTCTGGAAACCATAGTCGTGGCCTACGAGATGGTCGAGCTAGGCGAGTTGTATAGGACAATAAACGGCGACTTTACAAACTTGCCCACGCACGACACGTATTATTCCGACAACATCGTGCACCGAGAGTCTGGTGCAAAGTTTCGTCCAAACGCGCGCGACAACGTGCGAAAGGAATTCAAGTATCGCGTTTCCAATCGCCCCAACTACAGGATCGTGGACGACTGGGAAAAGAGACCGCTGGGTCCGTCCACGGATAGCTTCTTCCATTCGACCGGCGGAGGCCGCTACAAATCGACTCTGCGTATCAGACGGACGGTGTACGAGACAAATAATAATACTAATAATGAGCCCAAGTTTCACGGAAATTCGGACGACGACTACGCTGAGCGCAACGTGGATAGCGACGACGACGCTGAAGACGGTGACGACGGTGACGACGACGTCAGTGACGAGATCAGGCGCTACAAGTACAAGAGATACTACACCGAAAGCGATCACATTATTCGAGCTTTGCGCAACGTCTAGTACGTGTCTTTTTTGAAATAAACAAACAATCATTCGAGAGGCTTTATTTTTCTACATACACAAAACGTACGTATATATACGCGCGCCTGCCGAAGCGCGTCGACAAACGTAGAACATGACCGGAGTAGCATCCAGCGTGTCCAAAGCGTTTCGCGAGGCCACCAAGTTTGATCAATCGCGAACCTTCGACTGGAGCAGAGTAGTGGCCAACGTTTATTCGGAAGACTCAAATGAGGAAGAGTTTGAACGAGAGAGGGTCGTCCTGTTCTCCGAAATTTGTAAACTTTCTCATGTGTCCGCGAACGCTCTGACCGTTTTGGACCTTGTCGACTATCCGACCTTGGAGGACGCACAATTGTTGTACATTGTTTGTACGTATACGCACCTCAAGACCATACTCCTGAGGAACGCCCCCCTATTGTCAAACTCTGCTCTACAATACTTGGCGACCTACGCTCAATCTCTCGAACATCTTCAAATCAGCAACAACGGTGGCCGTATCAGGAACGAGGGATTGATTCATCTGGCTCCTTTGCGTCGACTCAAGAGTTTGTGTCTGACTGGAATAAGAAACGCCAGTCGAGCTGTCCTTCGAGTGATATTGCAGAACAACGAATCTATATACGCTATCTTGGTGATAACGACGGAACTCTTCGCCTCTAAAGATAACGTGATGCACTTTGCGCTTCGAATCAGTTGAGTCAGGAAATGTACGATTTTGTTTTTTGTAGCGAAACGTTATCTCCGTTTTCAGATAGCGAGTGAGGGTATATATATATATATATGTACTCGCACGTACTACGCTTACAGCAAAGCTAACCCTACCCTCTCCCCCGACATCACGACACGACACGACTACTACCCTATAACCCAAAGCGACAATGGCTCGACTAGACAGGTCCCCATCTCTCCCGCTGGCCGACACCTGCGTACAAGTGTTCGCTCAGTCCAGAGTGTCAAGCGTGGTGGATTGGAAAACAGTGGTGCTTAGTATATACCACGAAGAAGAGGGCTACGCTTGGGACAACGTGGAAGGGCAAATTCACTGTGCGTATACCGAAATTTCAATATTAAGAAGCTTTCCTACGCACATCACATTCTTGGAGTTGGTGCACTATCCAATGCTGCGAGACCGCCACGTCAGTGATTTGGTTCGTTTCTACCCGAACATCAAGACTTTGCTCCTACGTCACGCACCCGGCTTGACCAACGACTCTGTAAAGTGCTTAGCGGACGGTCTACCTAATTTGACTCACTTGCAGATGGGATCGTGCTATCACCTAGACGACGAAGCCTTGATGTATCTCGCAGAAAAGAGGATAATCGACGTTGGCATACGGAGCCTCTGCATGACCGGACTCGGATTTATACGCCGAGAAACGCTTCACCAATTTCTCAACGTGCATCGAAGACTGACTACTCACCGCTAGAGACGTCCCCAACAAGGACGTCTACCTTGGTGAATACACTTTGTGTATTTCTAGCACAGTGTCTCCGTCACTAAGAAACATTGCGCCAACCGACCTAGACGTTATCGAAGGTGTGGACGGTGTTGTGGGTGACATCGAGTACCAAGACCTCGACAGTGACGACGGTGACGGTGACGACGGCTACAGTGACGACTACGACAGTGACGCCGACGAATATCTCGAATCGGACGACGACAGAATGCTGGGTCCGATCGTCCTAAACACCTTCAACTACGACGAAGGAGAAGACTCAATGGGCGAAGAAGACGACTGAGTTATGCTTGAAAATAAATAATTCGTGTGCTTATATTTTTGAGTCACGAATCGTTCTTTTGCATGCACACTACACTAGTGCCAGTACAAATAGTTTATTTAATGAATTCGATACATTCCACTCACTGCAGATTTACAAAGGCAACACACAAATTGCTCTCTCGAATTGTAAATCATTGGAAATAGACAATTTAAACATAAGGCGGCGTGGGCACAGGGCAAAGTAACTATACACACCGGACAGTTCATGCAGACGACGCAAATCGTCGTGGACGGATCGGACCGCTTCATGGAGATGCTCGTCTTGTCGATGCGCGTGGGATACGGACGTCCTACGCTCAGCGCCGAAAAAGAATCGCTGTTTTCGAGAAAGGACTTTAGCTTGTTCGGACAGGAAAGATCAAACTTGGAAGTGGCCAATGCTGTTATAAAGTCTAGGCTGTATTTGTTTGAGACAAACTCAATGTCCTTGGTATATTCTAGCAACCAAAATAAATCGCTATTTCTATACACGTCGGACACCTCCTTGATGTAGGTTACGCTCGCGCACAATCGAAGATAGGGGCAGCGAGGGTTGTACTTGGCGTGTTCCTCGACTGGGTCGTCGTAGTCGGCTTCCCACGAAAGCAACCGAAGTCCGCAACAAAAGCATTCCACGGTCCGATCGGTCAGGTAATAAAATCCCGCAGATGCCATGTAATCCACGTCAAAGACGTCTTCTTCTTTCGGCCGAGCGTCGAAGGAGGCGAACCTCGCAGCGTAAGTCTGAAACTCGGGCCTAAAGGCAAGCGCTCGTTCGGTCACCACCGCCGAGACGTCTGGACTCAGCGTGCGTAGCGGTGCGTCACAGTCGGATTCGTGCAGTCCTTGGGGAAGTGTTTCGTCCGAGGCCACGATAGTAGAGAGTTGAGTCTTTTGCTGGCACATCGAGCAGCTGAGAATCCGCTTCTCCGGATCGTAGGCGAGTCCTGCCATGGCAAAGTCCTTGGGTGTGGGGGTACTGTTGCGCAAAGGCCACGTCGCAAAAGTTTTAAAGTCGGACATCACCTTGGCCACAGTCGGGTCGTGGTCGAACATGTTCTTAAGCAAAGTAGACTCTAGAAATAAAGTCGATTTTGAGTCTACAGGCCTTGCAATGTTTGAATAATATGGTGCAGTCGAAACACGACACGCAGTGTCCGCACGGCAAGTAGGCAATGTTAGCCGGAGCCTTCATGCATACGATGCACCTCTTAGTTGATTCGTCTCGTGACTTTATAGCGGAATAGTGCGTATCACTGATCGCGCTATCTATCACAAAGTTACCCCACCTACCGATAGCCTTGTGATCGAACGAAGGAAGGGCGTTCACTGGCTCAAACAGAGTGTGACTGCCCAACGGAGTCGCCTTGCTGCTCCGAATGGCACTCACCATCGCCGATACGTTCAAGGGATGCGTCAGGTTGGCCGTGTACAGAGTACTCATAGTCCTGTTGCGGAACTTTGGGTCCTTGACGAGATCGTCGATCTCGGGAAAGTGAGACGCCCAGTACATCTCGCTCCTGTAAAACTTTTCGACTGCATCGTGCACGTAGTAATAGGTCTTGTTCACTCGTAGAAACACGCAATTGGGGGACCTGCGGGCGTGTAGCAGCCACGGATCGTCTTCTTCGCAGTCGAGGATCGAAAATACTTGCACCCCGCAGTAGAAACAAACGAATATGCGGGTCACTATCTGTTCGCGGGAGAGGTAGCCCTGCTCGTCGTCGTGCGAGCAGAAAAAGCCGGCCTTGGCGAACGCAGGGCCTCGAACATCGTGAAAGGTCTTGGCTCGAATCTTCTCGTCGACGTATCTCTTGTAGACCGGGTGAGAGTAGCTCGGCAAGACGGACACGACCCTTGCTACGTTCAGCCGCGGGTCCCTGTACTGCTCGAGAAACTTGCACGGCATTCGGCGGTGAAGGTCCATCGGGTGAAACGTGAGCGTCTCCCAGTCCTGTTCGGCGACTTGAAATTTGCAGTGCCGACAGTAGATGTGTTTCCGGTCAGCGCAATATTCTAGGCCGGCATAGGCAAAGTCTCGAGGCGTGGCTCTGGTGCGAAGTCGCCATTCGGCGAACGTCTTGAAGCGACGCACGACTTCCTTGCTTATGGGATCCGTAACGTGTCTTACAGGAGAGATGGCGATAAATACGTGCCCACGCTCCCGAACGACACGTCGACCTTACTCGGCTACTCGTCCAAGAAACTCATGCAGCACATTACCAAGGCGCGCACGACGCTCCTGACCAACGGAGATGTGGAACCGGTTGCAGATATGCTCTTTCGCGTTTTCGAACTCGGTAGTAACATACTGATGACGGTCGACATGAATCAGATGGCCATCCAAACGCTCCTGAATGACAATACAGTATTTCACTGCGTAATGGGAATCGAATACGTACGAAACAGTCTCAACATACTTAGGAAAACCTCTTCCTCGTCGACCACTCAGCGCGTCATCAGGGATCTGAAGCCGTACGTGGACGCGTACGCTACTGCCATTCTGCGCCTGCTACTCCTCTATATCGAAGAGATCTTTTCCCATGCGCGCGAGGCGACTCGCGGTATGGCGGTGGGCGCAAGGACGGCAGCCAAGATTACGGCGGTCATGCTAGTATCCCTGTGCAACTACGCGGCGGTGCGCGTAAAGTGCAACCCCATCTTTCAGTTTGAGAGCGCCATGGGCCACAACTGGCTCGACGTGGCCAACGGTCTCAGCCTCGTGCACAGGATCACGCAGCCACACACCGTCAACGAAAACATTGTCGGGGCCATTCGCGTAAAGTTTTCGCAAAACAACAAGCCACAGGACGTCATCAACCTCCTGGTCGAAGAGAGCAACAGGTTGTACACGAGTAACGTCGAGAACGGAGTGTACCGCTGCGACACCGACTACATGACGCTCCGGACCGTCATGCCGGCCGAGCGGGTCACGGACGACGTTAACATCATCGATCCGGCCATCTCTACGACGCTGCGTGACCACAACGAGCTCATCATGAAGAGTTCCGACACGATCCCCGTGCCGCGGACCAACCACTACGTGCTAGCCCTGCAGAAGGAGAAGGCGCCGGCCACCGAGGTGTCGGTCCTTAACATCGCCTCCATCATAGAACAGTGCATGAGCAACGGGCGCGTGGACTCTCGCTTCGTCGAAGTGCACAAACAGTCGGACCAGGGCACGCAGGAGCTCAACAAATTTTACAGCCAGGCCTGTTGCGTCTCGCCCCGTAACCTCGGTCTGTTTCTACAGTGCCTAAACTTTGAGATGATGGACTCGGACATGTTTGGGGCCACCTTACAGTGCCTCAAGATGACCAAATGCATACCCACTCCGCGCCAGGAAGAAATTTCCACCTACTCAAACACGGCGCTATTTCGGATGGCCACCAACCTGTTTTATCACACGCGTTTCTCTAGGAACTACCGCGGCGAAAACACCTACCTGTACGACTCGCGCTTCTTTAACGACTTTCTACTCTGGGTCCAGTCGCCCAACTATCTGGAACACCACATCTCGCCTAGCGTGTCGTCGTCCATCATCTCGTGGTGCACGTCCATGTCTACTGCCATGCACACTACGCGCGACGCCAACGGAGCGAAGTGCGCCATGGCGGCCATATCCACGTGCGAGGTGGACCAACGCGTACTAGCCGACTTTTTGAACATGTTCATCAAGCTCTTTATCGAGGACGAGACCGAGATTAGCGTCATCAACAAGAAATTTCTCGAGAAGGAACTACTCAAGGCTTTTGCCTCCGTGTCTAATTGCTACAACCTGTTTAGGGGGCAGTTTGTTTCGGCGACGGCCATGCGCCTCTTCCTAGCCCGTTGTAGGTGGTCCGTGGCCGACGACGTGGAAGTCATCGTTCCGGTCGAAACAAAGTTTCTCAAAAGACTGATATGCGACAGCGACGACCTGTTGTCCAACTCGATGCGAGACAAGCTCCGTAAAACCATGGAAGACGTCTCCACGATGATGGCGCCGCTACTCTCCAATCCATCCACGTCCACGCCTCGCAGCAAGGACGACGACAGCAACGTGCCCATATGCATTTGAAATAAAAAACCGCCAACGCCCCCATATACATTAACAAAAAGGTTCGGTGACTGATTTGAACGATCGAGGGAGTAAAATGTTGAAACAGGTCACGTTCGTCGATATCTTTTCGCAACAAAAAATGAGGACCCTGCGAGACTATCTCCATTGCGAACTGGACCTTTCGATATCGATACCCTATAAAATCTGGATCGCTATCGCAAATTTCTTTATTCAAAACAACGTCCCATCGGTCGTAGAGGGAGCAGAGTGTTGTCAGAAAGACAGCTCGTCGTCCCTCTATCTACTCGTCTTTTCATACAGGGACAAGGACGCCAACCGAGTGGTGGTGGACTGCATAAACTTCATCAACGTGCTGCGCGATCTCAAGGTGCACGACGTGATATTGCCGCGCGCAAGGCTGAGAAAGCAACGCTCGGTCGCGGTCCTCCAGAAAGCTCCCGTTTATTCATGTACCGCCCGTAACTTCTATCATTTATCCTGCTTTTGTTTTCTAGAAAGTGCGTGTTCATTCTCGCCCCGATCACGCGACGCTCGAACCGCTTTCGCCGAATCTTCGAGATAGCGACGCACTCTAGATAAGAGGCCGCCCGCGACCTTGTCGAGTCAGTCTCGCCCCAGCGCTCGATTCTGCTGACACGCCGACTTCGACGCCCGCGACGCTCTGCTTTCTTCTGTTTCCTTCTTTATTGTTGGCACAAGTTCGCCACATTAAACGTTTATTTATTTCTGTTTATTTCTTGTTTATTGGTCACGAATCACCACCCGTGACATTCTGGTGGAGGTGCGGGGTAACGCATGCCCCTGCCGCGTACCCCTCCGAGGTCCCGCAGTACAAGTCCGGACCCAGCCTCCCGAGGACCCGACGAAGACCAGATCGAGACCCGGTCAAGTCGCCGCATCCGAGGTCTACCCCCGGAACACGAACTTCTGCCGCCCAGGACCAAGCAGCCAACAAAGCCGACGATGGCCAACCAGTCGCCGACGCCCGCCGCTCCTGCCATCGTCTACCTGCCCGCCGCTCCCCGTATGCCGACACCTTTCCACGGCGAGATCCACGAGGATGTCGAAGACTGGATCAAGCACTACGAGCGTGTGGCGCGCCACAACGGATGGACTGCGGAGCAGTGCCTCCAGAACCTCTACTTTTCGCTGGAGGGTACTGCGAGGCATTGGTTCGAGAATCACGAGGCTTCGCTTACGTCGTGGGACATCTGTGTGGCCGAGTTGCAGCGGACGTTCGCCACCCTACACCGACGGGAGAAGGCAGAAGATCTCCGAATTCGAACGCAGGGCCCCGACGAAAGCGTCACAACCTTCGTAGAAGATGTCCTCCGCCTGAGCGCCCGTGCCGACCCACGAGCCACAGACGACAAGAAGCGGCGGGTCCTCATGCGCGGGGTGAGAGACGACATCTTTGGAGGCGTCGTGCGCAACCCGCCGGGCACCGTCGAAGCCTTCGTCACCGAGGCGACTAACATCGAGCGCGCCCTCCAAGCGCGCGCTTCCCACTACCAGCGACATCCAAGTCCAAGTGTCGCTGCAACCGCGCTGCTTGGCGGCGAGAACGCTCCTGGTACGGACATCCGCGAAATTATCCGGGAGGTCGTCCGGGAGGAACTCCGCCAGTTGCTGCCAGCCGCAAGTCGTCCAGCGACACTCTCCATTGCCGAGGCTGTGCGCGAAGAAGTGCATCGGGCGCTCCAACCAGAGGTTCCCGTCACCACGGTGGCACCGGAGGAACCGATGTTGAGCTACGCCGCAATGGCCCGACGACCGCCGCAAGCCCCCCGCCAAGCCACGTCGCCACCCCGAAGAGACGCCCCAACGCCGCATTACCCCCGAAGACAGGAAGATCAAGCGCACGTTCACCCAGACCGACCTGCGCCGAGGAAGACAGACGTCTGGAGGACGGCCGACGGACGCCCGCTGTGTTACCACTGCGGGGAAGCTGAACATGTGTACCGCCGATGCCCATACCGACGACTCGGGCTGCGCGGATTCCACCCAAGTGACCCGCGTCCCAGGTATGGTGAACGCCCTCGGGAGATCGACGAGTACTTGCGACGACCCCAGTCCCCCGAGCCTGCGTCCCGCCGAGAGTTCCGATCGCCTTCACCACGACGTCCAGCTTCGCTGATGCACCGACCCCGACGTGAAAGCCTGTCGCCCCTTGCTCCACGCCGGGGAAACTAGGCGCGGCAACCCCTGGAGGTGGAGTTGCCGAAGACGACCGACGCCAAGATCCTCCACGAACGTCGGAGGGCCCCCACTCGAACGCTACCGGAGACCGAAACGACGCTCCTGAAACGGTGTCCAACAACCTAAACGTCATCATCGACGGCCACGACGCATCGGCACTCGTGGACACCGGAGCAGACTACTCAGTTTTGAGTGGGAGGCTCTCCCGCCGCCTTCGAAAAGTCACGACGCCGTGGGATGGACCTCAAATACGAACCGCCGGTGGGCACCTCATCACACCAATCGGGCGATGCACCGCTCGCGTCGAGATCCACGGTGAGACGTGCCCTGTAAAGTTCGTCGTTCTGCAAGACTGTTCGAGGGACGTTATCCTCGGAATGGACTTCCTCTGCGAGTATGGCGCCGTCATCGACCTCGGAGCAAACCGGTTGACGCTGCGAAAGCCTGTTTCACCACCGGAGGAACCCAAAGCGACGTCATCTGCGGTCCGAGTCCTCGCCAGCCACGTTAACTTACCGCCGCGGTCGAGTGTTTTCGTACCCGTCGGGATCACCGAAGATTTCTGCGGCGAAGTTCTGCTCGAAGGAAGCCTCCAGTTGCTTCTGGGAAGAGGAATAGGCGTCGCAAGAGGAGTTGCTGAACTTCAGGATGGCCGCACTGTGGTCCTCATCACGAACTTCCGAAACGAAGCGCAACACCTCACAAAAGGTGCAGCCGTGGGCCAGGTCGAGGAACTCCAAAACTCCGCCGCTGTCGCCGCCATTACTGACGAATTCTCGCCACCTCAGCAAGACAGTGCGTCGCCAGCGCAGCTCGACATTGACCCTAAACTCCCGGGCCCGAAACGACGACAGTTGATTAACCTTCTCGCCGAATACCGCGACTCCTTTGCCACGTCGTCGAAGGTGCGCCAAACCACCGTTGCGAAGCACCGCATCGTTACCGAGGACGACGCGCGCCCTGTGCATCGATCGCCATACAGAGTCTCCGTTAAGGAAAGGCAGGCGATCCAGGAGCAAGTTCAAGAAATGCTGAACGACGACATAATTCAACCTTCAAGCAGTCCTTGGGCCTCTCCAGTCGTACTGGTTAAGAAGAAAGACGGGACGCTTAGGTTCTGTGTAGACTACCGGCAGCTGAACACGGTGACGAAGAAAGACGTCTACCCACTCCCCCGCATCGACGACACTCTAGACCGGCTGCGCCACTCTCGATATTTCTCATCGATGGACCTGAAGAGCGGCTACTGGCAGATCGAAGTCGACGAAAGGGACCGAGAAAAGACAGCCTTCGTCACGCCGGATGGACTGTACGAGTTCAAAGTGATGCCCTTCGGACTGTGCACGGCGCCAGCAACTTTCCAACGTGTCATGGACACCGTACTGGCAGGACTGAAGTGGCAGAGCTGTCTCGTCTACCTCGACGACGTCGTCGTGTTTTCCAGCGACTTCGACGAGCACTTGCGACGACTCCGAGCAGTTCTCCAAGCCATACGGACCGCCGGACTCACCCTGAAGCCGTCAAAGTGTCGGTTCGCTTATGACGAACTGAAGTTCCTCGGCCACGTGGTTAGTAACGAAGGTGTCCGCCCAGACCCCGAGAAGACTCGTGCCGTCGCAGCATTTCCAGCGCCAAGAGACAAGAAGGCCGTCCGAAGGTTTCTTGGGCTATGTGCCTACTATCGGCGCTTCGTTCGAGATTTCGCAAGAATTTCCGCACCGCTCACACACCTCACGAAGGACGCCGATAAGTTCGAATGAGCCGATGAACAGCAGCAGGCATTTGACGAGCTGAAGCGACGACTGCAGACTCCTCCTGTTCTTGGACATTTCGACCAGGATGCGGAAACCGAGATTCACACGGACGCAAGTAACGCAGGGCTTGGCGCGGTTTTGGTTCAAGTACAAGAAGGCACCGAGCGAGTCATCGCTTACGCAAGTCGGACATTAACCAAGGCGGAGAGAAATTACTCCACGACTGAAAAAGAATGCCTTGCGGTCGTCTGGGCAATCACGAAGTTTCGTCCGTACTTATACGGGAGCCCGTTCCGGGTAGTCACGGACCACCACTCGTTCTGCTGGCTTGCGAACCTCAAGGACCCGTCAGGACGCCTCGCGCGGTGGAGTCTCCGACTACAAGAGTTCAACATGACCGTCGTCTACAAGTCAGGCCGCAAGCACAGCGACGCCGACTGCCTGTCCAGAGCTCCTGTCGCAACACCTTCCGGCAGCAGCGACGACGATGACGACGAGTGTTTTCTGGGCGCAGTGAACATCGACGACATGGCCCGGCGTCAACGAGACGATCCTGAGCTGCGCGCACTAATAGAGCACCTGGAAGGGCGCGGGAGTACGGTGCCACGTGTTTTTTCACGAGCGCTGCCGACCTTCGCCATTAGACAAGGTGTACTCTACAAAGAGAACTTCGGGAACAACAACTCGCCATGGCTGCTGGTAATCCCGACCGACCTTCGGGAGGAGATCTTTCAAGCCTGCCACGACGACCCGACGTCCGGACACCTTGGTTACAGCCGGACCCTGGCACGTATTCGTGAAAAGTATTACTCGCCCAAGCTCCCCAAAACCGTCCACCTGTACACGCGATCATGTCATGAATGCCAGCGACGAAAGAAACCTCCGACGAGGCCGGCCGGACTCTTGCAGTCAATTCCTCCGCCAACAGCACCCTTCCAGCAGATCGGAATGGATCTACTTGGCCCTTTTCCGCCGTCGACGTCGGGAAATCGCTGGATCATCGTCGCCACAGATTATCTCACGCGGTATGCCGAAACGAAAGCCCTTCCTTCCGGAACTG